GCCTGACAATCGAGGGCTGATGGTGTAAATCCCAGTCAAATTCTGAATACTGGAGAACCAATGTCCAACGACAGAAGACAGATATTCTCAGCTTAAGCAGAAAGGAAATTCTCCCTTTCTTCTTCTTTTTGTTCTATGGGGCCCTTGATGGATTAGATGAGGGCCACCTGCATTAGGGAGGGCCATCTGCTTTAGTCAGTCCACCAATTCAAGTGCGAGTCTCTTCCAGAGACACCCTCACAGGCACACCCAGAAGTCATGTTTGACCAGCTATCTGGGCATCCCTTGGCTCACTCAAGTTGACACATAAAATTAACCATCACAACCTTTCTTTGGTTAAAGGTACATTCACAGGGTCCAGGGATTAAGAGCAGATATTTCTGGGGGGAGCCCTGGCCGGTTTGGCTCAGTGGCTGGAGCGTCGGCCTGTGGACCAGAGTCCCTGGTTCGGTTCCCTCTAGGGGCACGTAACAAAAAAATAAAATATATATATATATCTTTGGGGGCACTGCTATTCAACTACCACAGAGGGCTTCCCAAGCAAAGGGTTCTGTGACACTTGGTGCTCAATCAGATTCCAAATGTACCTGTCTCATGTGCCATGCTCTCAGGTACCTCCACCACAGGTTCTATCTCTGCCTGTGCTTTTTTGTTTGTTTTTGTTGCTGTTAATCCTCACCCAAGGATATTTTTTCCATTGATTTTTAGAGAGAGAGAAACATCAATGTGAGAGAGACACATTGCTTGGTTGCTTCCTGCATGCCCCCTTACTGGGGCCGGGGATCAAACCTGCGACCCAGATACCTGCCCTTGACTGGGAATCAAACCCATGACCCTGTGGTGTGCAGGCTGATGCTCTAACCACGGAACCACATCGGCCAGGACTGCCTGCACTTCTTAATGTAATCATGACCATGGCGCTCCAGCCAGACCCATTTTTAGGAGCCCTGCGTGGCTTACCAAGGGTCATGGAGCTAAGTGCCAGAGCTGAGATGTGCACCTGTGCCCTCTCTCTACTCTCTCTCCGCCAGGCTCTCCTAGGTGACCAGTACGGCCCCTGTCCAGTCCCCACACTGATTGAGGAGAAGGAGTGGGAGACACTGAAGGCCCAGCTGATCACCAGGCCAGGTGACCTGGAGCTGGTGGCTCACCACTTCCAGAGGGATGAGAACACTGTGCCCCCCACCTACGTGCTGCAGGCCCTGGGCACCAGGGAGACCCACGGGCCCGAAGAGGCCACCCTGACTTCTGTGCTGCGCCGTGGAGCCCAGGAAGCCAGGAAGCTGGGCCTCATCACCCAGGAGCAGTGGCATCGCTACTACCGGTCAGGTAAGATAGTGAGACTCCCCTCAGGATCCATGGGAAATGCCCATGTGTTGAGAATATACATTGAGTATTGTCCAAAGGCAATTTCTATGAATGCCAAGCCAGCCTACCTCCCGAAACCCTGGTTCTGAGAAAGGTCATGGAGAGTTATCCCTGTTCCAGTTAAATCTTTGTCTCTTAGGATCATTCTCTCCTCCTCTGGCTCCATCCCTTCTTCCAGGGAGGCTCCTGGCTTTGGAGGATATATTCTAAAACAACCATCATCCCTCTTTACCTTGGACTGAGAGGCTCCAGGGATGCAAGACTGTTAGGGCAAACTCAGGACAGTCCTTGAAAAAATGAATGAGTGGGTCTCCCTGTGTTAGCCCGAGTTAGACCTGCTGAGAACCGCGTCATCTGGCCTTGCTGCACCTGCCTCAGAGGAGTCTCACCTGCCCAAGGTGAGAGAAGGGATTTGCCCCTGTGACTGTTGAGTCCGTCACCCAGTTCCCACCTGGTCCTTACCTCTCACCTCTCCCCCAACCTCCCCCCACATCATCCTGCACTCCAGGTACCAGAAAAATTTTTCTAAAAATGCAGCATGATCAGTTCATTTCCCCACCACTTGCTGCCAGCAGGAAACGGGTTCTTGTTATTGCTCATGGGTTAGTTACAAGTCAGTTTGTGGGTTATTAGTATGTCAACTTATATTACCAAACATATTACATATAGCAATTTATGTTACCCAAAATGTTAAATATATAAATTTATATTACTGAAAATGTTAAATATATAAATTCATTTATCTATATATTAAATATGTGAATTTATATTATGAACGTATTAAATGTATAGACAAATTAAGTATATTGACTGATTGATTTAAAGATATTAATATAGTAATTTATATTAATAATATTTACATTTTATTAAAATATATCAATTATTATCTATTAGATAGATACTAATTCTGGTAATGACATATTCATTTTTAAAAATAAACTTTTTGGAGGGGGCATCATTTTAGATAAACAGGAAAGTTACAAGGTTATAAAAGCTAAAAAGAGGGCAGAGTTTCTTTTTGTTCTTTGCTCAGATAAGTTAACATCTCATGTGATCACAGTGGGTTTGTTGGAACTGAGAAATTAATACTGATACCTAATGTCAGTACATGATGATTAACTAGACTCCAGACTTCACTCAGATTTCTTCAGTTTTCCCATTTACATCCCCTCTATGTCCCAGGACCCCACCTAGGACCCCACATTGTGTTTAGTCGATGTGTTACCTTAGGCTTCTTTGGTGTCTGACAATTTCTATCTTCCCTTGTTTTACCTTGACCATTTTGAGGAGTACTGGCCAGGCGTTTTGTAGAATGACCCTCACTCTGGGCTTGTCTGGTGTTTTCTTGTGATTGGACTGGGATTATAGGTTTCTGGGAGGAAGATCACAGAGGTGACATTCCCTCTCCATCCCGTCATGTCAGGGGTACCTGATGCCCACTTGACATCACATGTGATGCTAACCTTGATCCTTTGGTGGAGATAGGAAAGACATATCAATTTTGAATACACTGTTTATGTGACAAATGTTAATGGCTACTGTTTATCGAACACTTACTATGTTGCTATTGTTTGCTCTATGACACAAAGCTAACTATGAGAATTGTTTGGTGAGAATGTCTGCCATCAAGGCCACAATCAGTGTCTAGGGTCTGTGCTTTGATGGGCTGGATTTACATCTCAGCCTGGCCCCTTTCCAGCTGTATTGACTTCTGGCAGGCTTAGAGCCTCAGTTTTCTCATCTGTAAAATGGAACTAGTCAGAGTTATCATGTCATGGAGTCATTGTGGGATTTAAAGGATTGTGTCCCAGCCATGACTTCATTCAAGCTATAAGCAGCAATGTCAAACTTCACCTGTTCAGAAGTCCCTCATGAAAGAACAAATAGAAACTCCTTGAAAGTAGCAGAAAGCACTATGCATGTCAGCATGGTGTCTCAGGGCATGTTATATTCCAGGTCCCTTGCTTTTTAAAAAATGTTTTCTTTTGAAATAGCAGTTCACAGGAAGTTGCAAAAAAAAAAAAAAAAAAAAAGGTAGAAAGAGGTTCCATGTATCCTTTTTTTATTATTTTTATTTTAAAGAATAAAGAGTTTATTACTTACAGGCCCTGGAGTGAATGAGGCACACCAGGGAGCACACAGTGAGGTGTGGGGATGGTGAGAGAGAGAGAGAGAGAGAGACTGAGGATCTACTTTTTATTTATTTATTTTGATATTCAATATTGTTTTATATTCATTTCAGGTATACAGCATAGTGGTTAGACATTTATATAATTTACAAAGTGATTCCCCTGATAAATCTAGACACCATAGTTACTACGATATTATTGATTAAATTCCCCCTGTGACTATTTTGTGACTACCAACCATATATCCTTTAACCCGTTTCCACCAAAAAGTAACAGCTTGCAAAACTAGAGTACAATATTACAACCAAGAAGTGGACATTGTTACAATTCAGAGAGAGAGAGTCACTTTTACAGGCATACTTGTGTGTGTGTGTATGTGTGTGTGTGTGCACGTGCACATGCCTATGTGTGTGTATTTCATTCTGTGCAATTGTATCACCTGTGTAGCTTCAAGGAACCACCACAGTCAATCCATAGTACTGTTTTCTTACTGGAAAGATCCCTCCCGCTATCCCTGTAGAGGCACACTTACCCAACACCCAGCCTCCCTGGCAACCACTAATTTGTCTCCACCTCTATAATTTTATTTCAACATGTTACATTATAGAAGATGGAATTGCATAGTCTGTAATCTTTTGATTGCCGTTGCTACTTCAGCATAACGTGCTCAGCTTTTCACAAGGACTAGTTCATAGAAAATCCTCATAACAGCCCCTCAAGATTGAACTAGTATATCCATGTTACAGTGGAGGAAACAGATTCAGAGAGGTGCAGTGATTTGCAGAAGTTAACACAGCTTGAAGATAGTCTTGGATTGGTTCGTGCTGAAATATGTTCAAGAAGGATCTCATTTGGGGACTGGTAGTTGCCTTCATACCTCTGACTTCCATTCACAGAGCTGAGGCGAGTGTGGGGTCACTCCAAGGAGGACTTTTAAGTGGCTCTTGTCTTTGGCTCAGAGACTAAGTCCTGTCTCTAAGAGCCTGCAAAGAGCTACGAGCCTCTGCCGAGTACAGGGCAGCTTAAAAAATAACTTCTTGGGTCTGATTGCTATTTCCAAACAATGGCCTCCAAGAAGAAGTCAGTGTGGGCCTTTGGTTCTGGAATATATGGGTTTTCAGGGCAGCTGCTATGTGCTCTGGGACAAGGGTCTGGCAAACAATGGCCTGGGGGCCAAATCTAGCCCACAATTAGTTTTTGTAAATAAAGTTTTATTGAAACATACTCAAGAGCATTCGTTTGCATGTTGTCCATGGCTATGTCATGTCACTCAGGCACATGTTGAGCTTCAGAACCAATATCCCCACCTCCCAAATGTGTCTCCCAACTGTCCCCATTCAGGCCAGCTGATCACACAGTGATGACCACACTCTTCCCATCTCCTGTACTTTTGCAGTCATCGAGTGGGAGATAGAACGGGGCCTACTGAGCTTGACAGATGGGGACCAGGGGGCCACTGTCTTCTTGAGAGAGATCCGAGACCTTAACAAACACATCCTGGAAGACTGCACCCTAAAGATGGTGGACCGGCTTGCAGACGGCTGCCTTGACACAGATGCCCAGAACCTTCTCAGCAACCTCAAGGGGCGCATTGCTGACACGCAGCCTGGAGTCCTCAAGGCCCACCACCTGCCGTGGAGCCGTGACCTCGTGAACCCCCAAAATAAGGCTCATGCCCGGTACCTGAAGGCGCTAGGGGAGCAGTTTGTGGCCCGGGCTAACCACCAAATCCTTCAGCGCCTCCAGGAGCTGGAGGCAGGCAGGCAGGAACTGGCATGGCTCTACCAGGAGATCCGCCATCACCTGAGGCTGAGTGTCGAGGCCACCAGGACCTTCTGTGGGCGCCAAGAGCTCCTGGCCCAGGTGGGACAGAGACTCCTGCAGAGTAACAACCACCCCCACACGCCACTGGTGCTTTTCGGACCCCCAGGCATCGGAAAGACGGCTCTGATGTGCAAGCTGGCCGAGCAAGTGCCAGGGCTGCTGGGCTGCAAGACAGTGACCATCCTGAGGCTTTTGGGTACATCACAGATGAGCTGTGATGCCCCCAGCCTGCTCCAGAGTATCTGCTTCCAGGTGTGCCTGGCCTATGGGCTGCCCCTGCCTCCTGCTCAGGTCCTGGAGGTCCACACTAGGGTGGTTCAGTTTTTCCACACCCTTCTGCACACCGTCTCCTGCCGAAACTTCGAGTCCCTTGTGATCCTGCTAGACTCTGTGGATGATGTGGACTCCATCCACCGTGCTCGGAGGGTCCCCTGGCTGCCTTCTAAGTGTCCCCCAAGGGTCCACCTCATCCTCTCGGCCTGCTCAGGGCAGCAAGGGGTTTTAGATACTGTGCAGCAGACACTCATGGACCCAGAGTCCTACTGGGAGGTGAAACCCCTCTCCAGCAACCAAGGGCAAGAGATGATTCAGCTCCTGCTGACAGCCTCCAGGAGGACACTGAGCCCAGGGCAGAGGGATCTGCTCTGGGCCAGCCTCCCGGAGTGCGGGCACCCAGGGCAGCTGAGGCTGGCCTTTGAGGAGGCCCGGAAATGGGCCTCCTTCATTGTGCCTGCCCCTCTGGCCTCCACTGCTGAGGAAGCGATGCACCAGCTGTGTGCCCGTCTGGAGCAGACCCATGGGCAGCTCCTGGTGGCCCGAGTGCTGGGCTACATTGTGTCTTCTCGGTAAGTCTCTGCTTTTTCACCTCTTAAAAATTTTTTGGATTAATTTTATTTTTTAAGCTAATAAATAGAGCTCATGTACAAGAAAAATATAAAACATGCTACACAAAAGTCCCTCTCTTAAAAATAAATATGATTTAATGTACTAAGTTGTAATGTAATGTACAACTCATACATTTTAATGCACATTACTCAGAAGCATTAGTTGCAATGTATTTATTTTTTTCCTTTCTATTATTAAACCCTCACCCAAGGACATGCTTATTGATTTTAGAGAGAGGAAGTGGGAGAAGGGGAGAGAGAGAGAGAAATATCAATCAGTTGCCTCCCATACCTGGGATTGAACCCACAACCCAGGTATGTGCTGGGGATAGAGCCTGCAACCTTTTGGTGTATGGGACGATGCTCCAGCCAACTGAGCCACACTGGTCAGGGCAGTTGCAATGCATTTTTTGGAAAAGTGCTTTCTGCCTTACTTTTTTACACATAAAATTATTGTTGTTGTTATTATTATTTAAACAAACAAGGAAATTCTCAGAAAACCTCAAGCAAAAATCTTTTACAGACCTGAGAGTGTCTGGTAACAGTTTATAATATTAGTCTGGCCTTTATTATTATTATTTTCAATATAATCGTATTCTAGATCATGTTTTTTCTTTTCCAGCCATTCCCCATCCTCCTCCTCTTTGCCACCCATCAGCTTGTTCTCTGTAGCTATGGGTCTGTTTCTGTTTTGTTTATTTATTTGTTTAGTGTTTTAGAGTCCACATATAGTTAAATCATATGCTATTTGTCATTCTCTGACTTATTTCACTTACTATACTACCCTCTAGGTCCATCCAGGTTGTCATAAATGGCAAGATTTCATTCTTTTTATGGCAGGGTAGTATTCCATTATATATACCATCTCTTCTTTATCCATTCATTGATTGATGGACACTTAGGTTGTTTCCCTATCTTGGCTATTGTAAATAATGCTGCAGTGAACACAGGGGTACATATGTCTTTTTGAATTAGTGCTTTGGATTTCTTCAAATAAATATCCAGAGGCAGAACTGCTGGGTGCATAAGGCAGCTCTATTTTGTTGTTGTTGTTGTTGTTGTTAATCCTCACCTGAGGAGAATATTTTTTCATTGATTTTTAGGTAGAGTTGAAGGGAGAGAGAGAGAGAGAGATTGGTTGCTTCCCAAACAACCCCAACCAGGGCCCGGGATCAAACCTGCAACCCAGGTAGGTACGTGTCCTTGACCGGGAATCAAACCCATAACCCTTTGGTCCGAGAACTGATGCCCTAACTGCTGGGCCAAACCAGCCAGGGCTGACAGCTCTATTTTTAATTTTTAAACCTCCACACTGTTTTCCACAGTGACTGCACCAATTTACAATCTCGCCGACAGTGCACTAGGGTTCCTTTTTCTCCGTGTTTAACTTAACTTGAGACAGAAAGCATGCTCTCCTCTCTTAGGGCTACTGTAACAAATCGCAAACTGGGTGGCTGGCTTAGAACAAGAGAAATGTACTCTCTTAAGTTGCTGGAGTCCAGAAGTCTCAAATCAAGGTGTCAGCACGGCCGTGCTCAGGTGCTAGAGAAGAATCTGTTCTACGCCTTTCTTGGGGTTCTGTAGCTTGTAAACTCATCACCAATCTCTGCTTACAATGTCTCCTGACCTCTCCCTGTGAGTGTCTCTCTGTCTGAATTTCCTTCTTCTTGTGAGGACACTGCTCATTAGATTAGGGCCCACCTTAATCCTGGATGACCTCATCTTAACTTGATACTTCCCCAAAGATTGTTTTCAAACAAGGTCCCATTCACAGGTTCCAGGTTGACACTAATTTTGGGGAAACACTATTCACCCCCCAAGAATTCACATATCATAAAGTTCGCTCTTTTAAAGTGTACATTTCACCCTGGCCGGTGTGGCTCAGTTGGTTGGGCATTGTCCTGTGCGCTGATCAGGGCACATGCCTGGGGTTGCGGGCTCGATCCCCAGGAGGCAGTAGATCAATGCTTCCCTCTCCTGAATCGATGTTTCTCTCTCTTCCTCTCTCTCTAAAAAAATCAATAAAACTATTTTTAAAAATGAAATTATAAAATATACGTTTCAGCGGCATTTTGTATAGTCCCAGTGTCATGTAACCACTATCCATCTCCAGAACATGTCGTCCCCCGCAAGGAGGCCCGTCCGAATTAGCAGTCCCTCCCCAGTCTCCCTTCCCCAGTTCCCGACACCCACTAATCTCCTTTCTGTCTCTATGGAGACAGAAATGTAATATTTCTTTTCTAAAATTTTTACTTTGAAATACTTTCAAATTATAGACTAGTGGAAGAACTCCCATAGCACAAATAATTCCTGTTTTCTCAGCCTTTCACTACCGACATTTGGGGCCAGATCGTTCTTTGCAGTGTTTGGGGGCCTCCTGTGCACGGTAGGGTGGTGAATACCACCCTGAGGATTAACAAAAAGAGAGAGAGAAAAGAGAGGCCAGCATCCTGGCCTCCTCTACCCACAAAATGCCAGTAGTACCTATGTCCATCATGACAACCAAAAATATCTCAGGATGCCGCGAGGTGTCCCCTACAGGCAGAATGAGCCCTAGCTGAGAACTGCTGCCAAGCGCCCTTCCTCCAGAATCACCAATTTGCTACATTAGCTTTGTCTCTCCCTCTCTCCCTTTTTCTCCCTCTTATTTATCAATAAATAAATTCACTTTTTCTATTTTCCTGTCTATCTATCTATTTTTTTCTTTCTTTCTATTTTTCTACTGATCTATCATCTATTTATCTCCAGCTAGCTATTTTTCTTTTATTTATAATTCTTTTTTTTTTTAACCTCACCGGAGGACATTTTTGCATTTATCTTCAGATAAAGCAGGAGGGAGAGAGGGGGGAAGAGGGAGAGAGAAACATCGATGTAAGAGAGACACTTTGACTGGTTGCCACCCAGACGACCCCAACTGGAGCCAGGGACAAACTGCAACCAAGGTACGTGCCCTTTGTGAGAACTGAACCCAGGACTCTCTGGTCTGCAGGCGGACACTCTAACCGCTTAGCCAAACCTGCCAGGGCTATAATTCTTTCTCTTTATCTATCTTTTTTTTTTTTTCTCTCTCTCTTTTTTTTAATCCTCACCTGAGGATATTTTTTCTGTTTTATCCTCCCCCGAGGGCATTTTTTTCCATTTTTTGTTCAGATAGAGTGGGAGGGAGAGAGAGGAAGAGAGAGAGAGAGAGAGAGAGAGAGAGAGAGAGAGAGAGAAACATCAACGTGAAAGGGACACATCGAGTGGCTGCCACTCGCATGACTAACCAGGGCCGGGGACAAACTACAACCGAGGTACGGCTACAACCGAGGTATGTGCCCTTAGCGGGAACCGAACCTGGGTCTTTCTGGACCACAGGCCGACGCTCTAACTGCTGAGCCAAACCAGCCAGGGCCTTTTTTTCTATCTTTTTACTTATCTATCTATCTAATCTCTGTCTCAATATCTATCTACTTATACACACATACACATACAAACACACACATAATTTTTTCCCTGAACTATTTGAGAATTCATTACAGGTGTCACCTCCTTTCCCTTAAATGTGTCACATATTTCCTAAGAACAAGGACAGTTAGAACCCTACATTGGCCCTGGCCGGTTTGGCTCAGCAGTTAGAGCATCGGTCCATGGTCTAGAGAGACTTGGTTTCGGTTCCCGCTAAGGGTATGTACCTCAGTTGCAGTTTGTCCCCGGCCCCAGTTGGGATAGTGTGGATGGCAGCCAGTCGATGTCTCTCTCTCACATCAATGTTTCTCTCTCTTCCTCCCTCTGTCCCTCTCACTCTATCTGAAGATGAATGCAAAAGTGTCCTCAGGTGAGGATAAAAAAAAAAAAAGAACCCTACATTGCCACAGGACAATTATAAAACTCAGGAAATGTATCATTGACATAATAATATTTAACACACATTTTATAGTTAAAACTTGCTAATTGTCACAAAAATGTCAATTCAGGATCACATGTTGCATTTAGTTGTCATCTCTTTGGTTTCCCATAATCTGAACATTCTGCTGTCTGTCTTTGTCCTTTTGAAGAGCACAGGCCATATTCCTCAATTTTTAATGGAGAGATATATAGATAGATAGATAGATATATCTTGGTCCGGTTTATTTTTAATCCTTACCCAAGGATATTTTTCCATTTATCTTTAGATAAAGTGGGAGGGAGGGAAAAAAGGAGGGAGGGTGAGGGGGGAAGAGAGAGAGAAACATCAATGTGAGAGAGACACATGGACTGGTTGCCTCCCACACGACCCCGACCAGGGCTGGGGACTGAACCACAACTGAGGTACATGCCCTTGACTGGAATCGAACCCACAACTCTTTGGTCCACAGGCCGACGCTCAAACCACTGAGACAAACCAGCCAGGGCTCTCGGTCCTGTTTTCGAATAATGACTCTGGTTCAGCAGGTCTGGGGTGAAGCTGGGACCTGGTGTGTCTCTGCTGTGATGCTGCTGGTCCAGGGAGCACAGCTGGGGGCTGGAGGAGATTGTAGTTTACCCACCTGGTTTGGTCTGCTTCCTCCTGATCACACCCAAGTTAAACCTGAATGATATTGGGCCCCTCTTGGGTACCAATTTTCCCCCACTGTAAATTTGCAATGTTTCCCTTTGTAATTAATAAACAACATGTGAGGAGATCTCAGGAAAAAATCTGAGAGCAAACACCTCTGAAGAATCGACCTCAAGCTTGTGTCTACATTGAATTTCAGGCTTGTAGCATGGGAGTCAGCAAAACTGTAACAGGAAAATCCAACTCTAGTGTGTTTACAGAGTTCAAAGAAATGAAGGCTTAAATGAGGCTGCTCAGCTCAGAGAAAGTTTCAGGGCTGCAAACTGATGAACCTGGGTCAGTATGGTCAGGAGCAATTGCTGAGAGATGCCAGTTTTGGACAGTGATTCAGAAATAAGGAGCCGGAGGGAGGAGAAGCAGCCAGCAGCCTAGCTCCCAGCCCCAGGAGGGTGGGATAGAGGCCAATTAGCAGGCACACCAGGCAATAGAGCTTTCCCTTAAGAAAAGCTCTCAGGAACACTGGAGCCTATCATCAGAAATGCTTGACAATGCAATTTTGCCTCTTCTCAGTTTTGGGGCAGTTTTCTGCTTTCTGACCTTTGTCTTTCACCAAAAAATCAGGCAAGATGGGTGGGATCAGTGAGGGGGCTTTTCGTCTGTTTGTTTATTGGTTAGTTTGCCAGGAACAGAATCCCACTCACACTAATAAGGGCTTTATGCCGAGGCCCTGGGAGGAGCTTGGGAATCCAGAGCCACTCCAGAGCCAACTCCAGGGGGCATACCCCAGATTTTGCCATTGGTGCCCCAAACTGGGGAATGTTCCAGAATAAAGGGGTTTGGCCATCAGGCCACTGGGATGTTGTCTTTATGGAGGAAGAAAGTTGTCATGGAAACTGGCAAGCCACAGAAATCTGGGCAGTTTCTCATCCCTTCTCCCTCTGGATCCTTTCTACACGTCAGCTTTTGTTCTAGACTCTTCCTTTCTTTTCCCAGAAGTTCAGCTTGCCTCAAGCTTCCGTTGGCATCCTGAACTCCCATTTCAGAGACCTGATGCCATCATCCTGGCTCCTTGAATCCTGATTGCAAAATCTGGGAGACAGAAATCAATTGGCCTTTTCGGCCCTGTCTGATCTGATTGGTAAAGCAGGCAGGTGTCTGGTAGGCAGGTAGGACCACCCCTCCTCTAGGTGGGGAAGGCAGTTTAAGGATGGTGACCACGGGATAGGTGATTTCAGTGCCTCCAGTTCATGAGAGTATGTCATGTGTACAGACAGAGTCGGTGATGGTTGGGAGCCTGGCTCTGGAGAAGACCTGAGCTCTTTTAGGCCAGTGGTTCTCACCTGGGGAGATTCTCCAACCCCCTCCTCACCCTCCAGGGAACACTTGGTAATGTCTGGAAACATTTTGGTTATCATAGCTCGGGGGAGGGAGTGGCTGCTACTGACATCTAATGGGTGGAGACCAAGGATGCTGCTCAACACTCTACAGTGCACAGGACACCCCTCCCCTCTGCCAGAGAATGATGGAGCCCTACATGTCAGAAGTACTGAGCGTGAGAAAGTTTGCCTTAGCCTGAGATACTCTGTCTGCTCACTCTCCCTCTCTCTCTGTCTCTCCTTGATGTTGATACCCACCTTGTATACATCAGAAAATTTTAAGTGAGCAAGTATTCTGTATATGTGAAGAATGTGGCAAGTGTCTTGGTCAAAATGAAGACTTTGCTTAACATCGGAGAATTTTTTAAAAATCCACATGAGAGTACCCTGGCTGGTTTGGCTCAGCAGTTAGAGTGTTGGCCTGGGGTCCAGAGAGACCGGGGTTCGGTTCCCGCTAAGGGCACGTACCTCAGTTGCAGCTCGTCTCCGGCCCTGGTTGGGTCGTGCGGGAGGCAGCCACTCAATGTGTCCCTTTCACGTTGATGTTTCTCCCTCTCTCTCTCTTCTTCTCTCTCTCTCCCACTCTATCTGGACAAAAAAAAAAAAAAAAAAAAAAAATGTCCTTGGGTAAGGATAAAAAAATCCACATGAGCAGTTGCAGTTTCTAGCCAGTGAGGTGCAAACAGAACCTCCCTCTGCCCTGCTCTGAAAGGATCTCTGAGAGTCTTCATCCCCACACTGCGCTTCACTGCGGGCAAATCCAGTTCTCCAGTCTCATGCGCGAAGGTGTGAGACAGTTCTTTCGGTTCAGCACCAAAACTTCAGTTGGTCATCCTATTTAAAGCCGCTCCCTTTCTCTCACTCAGCCCTTTCTCAGGCCAGGAAACAGGACGGGCACAAGTGGTTTCTGCATCATTTTCCTAAGTTACCTCCTCTCTCCCTCCCTACGCTCCTTGGGGAGGGATGGTTTGAGGTTCTGTGACTGTGGGTACAGAAGGAAAGGTCTTATTTGATGGGTATATCTGGAACCAGGTATTGATGCCCACTGGGCCTGGGCACTATCCAAGTGCTGATCCTTTGGTGACGTGCAGGACACTGTGCAGCTGGCCGTGTCCCTCCCTCCCTTGGCGTCTGTGTCCTCCACACGCAGGAGACACAGCTGTGTTTCCATCCTCCTTCCTACAGGCAAGGGGTCTCGGAGGCCGAGCTGAAGGACATCCTGTCCTTGGATGATGAGGTCCTGCAGGCTGTGTACCAGGACTGGACCCCGCCGAGCAAGGAGCTGCTGCGTTTCCCACCCCTGCTGTGGGTGAGGCTTCGTCGTGATCTGGGAAACTGCTTGGCCAGGCGGCCCGTGGATGGCTTCACACTCCTGGCCATCGCCCACAGGTAGGTCCAGTGCTAAGGTGGAGCTGTCTGGGTGTCCAACAGCAAGAACTCACTGCTCAGGCTCTTCCTTGACCCGGAGCCTCTTCTCTCCCCATTCCCAGGGATCGAGTCCACTTGGAACAGCATTTAAGGATTTCCATGCACAGACTCTAACACAACTAATTTATTGTTTAAATTGAGGGGAAATTCACATATAAAAGTCACCATTTTAAAGTGTACAATTCAGTGGCACTTAGTACAATTCACAGTGTGGTGCAACCATCCCCTCTAAGTAGTTCCAGAACATTTTCATCACCCCAGAGGAGACCCCATCCCCATGAGCAGTTGCTCCCCACTTCCCCCGCAGCCCCCGGCAACCACTAATCCACTTTCTGCCTCTGTGGGTTTGCCTGTCCTGGACATTGCATATAGATAGAGTCATACAACGTGTCTGGCTTTTCTCACTCAATATCATGTTTTTGAGATGCATCCACATTGTAGTGTGTGCTAAAGCTTCATTCCTCTTTATGATTGTATGGATGAATTACTATTTATTTATCTGTTCATCCATTGATGGATTTGGGGCTGCTTCCACCCTTTGGCGAGTGTGAATAGTGCTGCTAGGAACTTGCATGTACATATTTTCATTCTTTTGCTATGTACTCGGAGTAGATATATATATTGTATATAATTCCAGGAATGGATTGCTGGGTCATACAGTAACTTACTTTATGTTAACATGAGAAGTCCAAAGATTCCATTTTAAAGTAATTTATTTGAGGGGAAAAAAGATGTGCCAATTTAGAGATAAATGTTAGGTAAGAAATAGGACAGGTGGTCAGAAGACTTAGTGAGCATCTGGATGGTGGTTTAGGATGGACTGCATTTGGGAACTACCTCCTGGAAGGCCAGTGGCCAACTCTGAGCTTGTCCAGTCTCCCAGGCCCACCAGCCCATGTCCCCTCTCTGCAGACAGCTGGCTGAGGTAGTCCGAGAACGCTACTTGTTGGGTCCTGAGAAAGCCAAGAGGCACGGAATGCTAGCTGACTTCTTCTTGGGGACCTGGAGCCAGGGCACCAAGAAACTCATCACCCTGCCACTGGTGGGGAAGCCCCTGAACCTGGACCGCAAGGTGAGGTGTCTACACCCCTGTCCCCCACCTCCAACCTCCACCCTGCTTTGGGAGCCAGACCACATCACTATTCACACATTTTCTTCCAGTCTTTCTTCTTATATGCCCAGGACCTCTAAGACTTGGCACCCTTAGCTGGTGTGCTGCCCCCTGACTTTTTGCCTCTCAAACACCTCAAGGCCCAGCTTAAATGCCTCTTCCTTGAGGAAGCCTTCCAGGTTTTTCTCCCTTCTCGATTACTTGTTCCTTACTTCATGTTCCCTTCACTCTGAGGTAGATCTTAATTTTTTAAACCTTTAATTTTGAAACCATTTTATTATTATTATTTTTTAAAATTATTTTTCCTTTATTGATGAGAGAGAGAGAGAGAGAGAACATCGATTGGCCGCCTCCTGCATGTCCCCCACTGGGGATCGGGCCCACAACCTGGGCATGTGCCCTGATTGGGAATTGAACCGGTGACCTCTTGGTGCATCATGGGTTGATGCTCAACCACTGAGCCACACCAGCCGGACTAGTTTTGAAATCATTTTAGATGTACAGAGGTGTTGCGAATCGAGTACAGAGAGTTCCCAGGGGCTCTTCCATCAGTTTCCCCTGACATTAACATCTTCTGTAACCATGGCATATTATTACAACGAGCAAAGACACTTGTAAATCTTTTTTTTGTCATAGATTTTTATTTTTTCTTTGTCTCCCAGGATGGACAGGGGAGGCCAGAGGCAGGGCCAGGCCTGATTGTTTCTCGGTGCTGCCCTTTCTTCTCTCTGACGACTCACAGATCTTTCTCTTGTGCCCAGAATCCTTGCAGGCTGTTTCATCCTTTCCCTCTAGGATGTGGTCTGCACTCCTTCCTGGCCTCCCAGCCGCAGGAACTCCTGCTTCAGTCCATCCTCCCCCAAAATGCTTCTGACAATGCAATCTGAACACGGGGCTCCTCTTATACCTCCCACGGCCCCCTAACACCCTCCCTGTCCTATCCAACCTCCCCAGCCTGATATTCATGATCTGCCTACAAACTCTCTAGTCTCATTTCCCACCATGATTGCCCGCTATGTGTTATAATTCAGCCCTCCCCAAACTCTCATTCTGCTCTCTCCCACCTCTGGACCTTTGCCCAGGAATCCCATTGTTTTCTGACACATTTCATCAGACAGACTCCTACTTATCCTTTGAGGCTCTGCTCCAATGCCCCTTGGATTCCCTGAATCCCACATCCCTTCCTCTGCCCCAGCTCAACTTGTGGTGGGTACAGGGCATCTCTGCCTGGAGTTGCGTGCTCATTCTCTCCAGCATCACCTGGTGCCCAGCCCGGTCTATGTTTGTGGAGTGAATGAATGAGCTCATGTGGTAGTAGCCTGGCTGCCATCCCCTCCTCCTCTGCAGGTGGCCCCCCAACCCCTGTGGTTTTCAGATACTGTTGCAAACCTGCGGAAACTGAAGGAGTTACCCTATCACCTGCTCCACTCAGGCCGCATCCAGGAGCTGAAGCAGGAGGTGCTGGGTAAGCCCTGGGCAGTCTCCACTCTCCACCATGCTCCGCCTTTCCAGAGCCTGGGAAACGCGAAGGGCAAAAGTCAATGTTCTTGGCTTCTCTGGGGGCACTGGGTCACCTGGTGTGGTTCTGCAGCCCCTTTCCAGGGGACACTTGGCAATGTCTGTGGATTTGGTTGTCAAGACTCAGGAAGGGGGTGCTACTGGCATGGAGTGCTAGTTGATAGTGCAGAGGGTGAGAAAGTCAGCTTTAGAATGAAAGAGGCCCTGTTTATCTGTATCAATATATCATCAATTGTCTCCACCTCTGTTTATCTACCACCTGTATCTATTAGTCATATCTACCTGTCATATTTGTCTTTTTATCATTTCTATCTCTATCTCTTATCTATATCTTTTTATCTATCTATTCATCTATTGTCTATCCATCCATTTTTCTTTTTGTGTATTTATCTATCATCTCTATCTCTAAGTACCATTTATGTTTGTCTATCATTTCTATCTCTCTCTGTCATCTGTGTCTATCATCTTTATGCCTTTCCATCAATCATCTATCTATTCATCCATCTTTCTATCTATCCATCTATTTGTCTGTTTTTTCTTTCTATCTTTCTTTCTTTTCTTTTCTTTTCTTTTCTTTTCTTTCAGTCATCCTTGTGATTCTCAACCAGGATGATTCTGCTCCCCAGGGGACTCTTGGCAATGTTTATGATTTTGGTTATCATGACTTCGGGGGGATGCTATTGGTATGTGGTGAGTGGAGACCAGGGATCCTGCTCAACACCCCATTGTGCACAAGACTACCCACCAAAGAGAATCACCCAGCAGTGCCAAGGGTAGAACCCCTGGGTGAACCAGAGAGGTGAGAGCTCACCTCCCTGGATGAACTAGAGAGAGGCATGAGCTCCCCACAGCCTCCCATTCTCCCCGCAGGCAACATGAACTGGATTTCCTGCCGGGGTGTCTCTGGGGGCATCGAGAGCCTGTTGGATGACTTTGACCTGTATGCCCCTCATGTGGACTGTCTTGAGGTGGGTCTGGTCCGAGAAGCCCTCCAGCTGTGCCGCCCGGCTGTGGAGCTCCGGGGCATGGGTGAGTGAGCTGGCCTGGCGGGGGGTCCACTCTGTACTGACCACTAGAAGCCCACTCTCCTCATTGAGCTGGATTTTTATTAACCAGCACACCTTTCCTGCCTACACCTTTGGGGTTTCTCTCAGTCTAGCCTCTAGAACTTTCCATTGAATTTAGGAATGCTTTGGAGTGATAACTACCAAAACAGTGCCTATCCCCTTGCCTATCTCCCAGCACCTGTTTCTAGAAAGGACCAGGTAGGTGATATTTCAGATAAAATCAATGAAATAATGTCAGTACTTGATATAACAAGAGAGAAAACATAGAAATTTTTTTTTATTGATAAAATATAAAAAATAATTATAATAATTGAGCATGACTTTTTGGTAACTCAGGTCTGCTAATGAAAAAGATGAGGGCATATGTGTTCTGGGGAATAACATTTTGCTTAATTGTGGTTCAAAGTCAGTATTTCCTGTCATTCCATCTACTGCAAACACTGATCTGTAAAAATCATTCTCGCTCTCAGGCAAATCACTGGGCTGCCCTAGAGACCGGAGAATCTCTGAGTCTTTAGTTGATACTCTGTCCAGGATGGTTTTCTGTTTGTTTTTGTTTTGTAAACTTATGGTAAAATGCATGTAACACAAAATTTACCGTTGTCATTGTTTTTAAGTGCACAGTTCAGTGGCATTGCCAATCACATTGTTCTGTAACCATCACCACTATTCACCTCCAGAACTTACCATCTTCCCAAACCTAAACTCTGTCCCCATTAAACACGAACTCCCCATCCCCTACCCCAGCCCCTGGCACCCACCCTTCTACTTTCTGTCTCTATGAATCCGACTATTCTCAGGACCTCATATCAGTGGAATCATACAGTATTTGACCTTTTGTGACTGGTTTATTTCACTCAGTATAATGTCCTCACATTTCATCCATGTCATAGTGTGTGTCAGAATTTCCTTCCTTTTTTTTTTTTTTAATTCTCATCCGAGGACATTTTTGCATATTTTGTTCAGATAGAGTGGGAGGGAGAGAGAGAAACATCAACGTGAAAGGGACACATGGAGTGGCTGCCACCCACATGACCCAACCAGGGCTGGAGATAAACTGCAACCGAGGTACATGCCCTTAGTGGGAACCGAACCCAGGTCTCTCTGGACTGCAGGCCACCGCTCTAACCACTGAGCCAAACCAGCCAGGGCAAATTTCCTTCCTTTTTAATGTTGAATAATATTCCACTGCATGGCTGGGCCATGCTTTGTTTACCCATTAACCCATCAATGGGCACTTGTGTTGTACATAATGTGCTGTGAACATGTGTGTACAAGTTGCTTTTCAAGACTGCTTTCAATTCTTTTTAAAATTTTTATCTTTATTGTTGAAAGTATTACAGATGTTCCCCCATTGACCCCCTCCACCCCACGACTATTCTGTGACAACCAATTTGTACTTCCTAACCCCTTCACCTTTTTCACCCATCCTCCCAACCCTCCTCCCAACTGGCTACCAACAAAAAGTTCTCTGTATCTGTGAATCTGTTTCTGTTCTGCTTGTTAATTTTGTTAGTAGATTCAATTGTTGATAGGTATGTATTTATTGCCATTTTATTGTTCACATTTTTATCTTCTTCTTCAAGATGACCCTTTAACATTTTATATAATACTGGTTTGGTGGTGATGAATTCCTTTAGATTTTTCTTGTCTGAGAAGCTCTTTATATGCCCATCAATTCTTAATGATAGCTTTGCAGGATAGAGTAATCTTGGTTGTAGGTCTTTACTTTTTATCACTTTGAATATTTCTTGCCACTCCCTTCTGGCCTGCAAAGTTTCTTTCGAGAAGTCAGCTGACAGTCTTATTGGAGCTCCCTTGTAGGTAACCAACTGCTTTCTCTTGCTGCTTTTAAGATTCTCTCTTTGTATTTAACCTTTGGCATTTTGATGATTAGGTGTCTTGGTGTGGACCTCTTTGGGTTCATCTTGTTTGGGACTCTCTGTGCTTCCTGGACTTGTATGTCTGTTTCCTTCACCAAGTTAGAGAAATTTTATGTCATTATTTTTTCAAATAGGTTTTCAATTTTTTGCTCTCTCTTCTCCTTCTGGCACCCCCATGATACAAATGTTGGTATGCTTGAAGTTGTCCCAGAGGCTCCTTACACTATCCTCATTTTTTTTGGATTCTTTCTTCTTTTTGATGTTCTGATTGGGTGTTTTTTGCTTCCTTATATTTCAAATCAATGGTTTGCTTCTTGGCTTAACCTACTCTACGGTGGATTCTTTGTAAATTATTCTTTATTTCAGTTAGTGTATCCTTCATTTCTGACTGGTTCTTTTATTTATTTTTTAAATATGTGTTTATTGATTTTTTAGAGAGAGAAGAAGGGAGAGAGAGAGAGAGAAACATCGATGTGAGAGAGAAACATCGACCAGCCACCTCCTGCATCCCCCTACTGGGGATCAAGCCCGCAACCCGGGCACGTGCTGTGACCAGGAATTGAACCAGGACCTCTCAGTCCATAGAACGATGCTCAATCCACTGAGCCATACTGACTGGACCGACTGGTTCTTTTTTATGCTCTTGAGGTTCTCATATATTCCTTGAACATCATTATAATGAGTGTTTTGTCTCTATTTTGTTTAGTTGTTTTTCTGGAGTTTTGTTCTGTTCTTTCATTTGGGACATGTTTCTTTGTCTCCTCATTTTGGCTGCTTCCCTGTGTTTGTTTCTATGTATTAGGCAGAGTTGCTACATCTTCTTGGCTTGGTAGAGTGGCCTAATTTAGTAGGTGTCTTGTAGGGTCCAGTGGCACAGTCTCCTTGATCACCTCAGCTGGGCATTTGAGGTACACCCCCAATGTGGGCTGTACACTCTTTTGTTGTAATTGAGTCTTGATCGCTGTTGGCACATCCATGAGACGGATTTACTCAGGTTGATCAATGACTGGCTGTGACCACTGACCAGTGACCTCTGACCATCTTGGAAGATCAACTGTGCAGGGGCCCACCCCACAGAGCAAGCCTTACTTCATCAGGGCCCTGGTACCCACTGAGTACACCCCTTGAATGTGTCATTTGTGGAAGTGGTTTGGTGGTGGTGCTTTGACGTGATCTGAAGCTGTCCACTGGTTGTGCTCGCTCTGGGGCAAGGTCAGCCACTGCCTGTGTTCTACCCAGGGCCACCAGGCATAAGCTACAAAGCGATCTGCAGATGGCTGCTTCTGGTGCTGGGCTTGGAGGTGCCCAGGAAAGGCCAAGTTATGAACCAAGACTGGCTACTGCTAGTGCTGGACCTGAGGACACTTAATGAGAGGTATGGGGCTTGCTGAGAGACCAGATGCTGCTTGTTTGAGAGATTTTAGGAAAATCTGAAGCAGGAGCCAAGACAGGCTAATCCTATGGTAAAGCCACTGGAAACAGCTTGGGTGGGCCTGAAAGTTGGGGGGGCAGGGCCTCAGGGGATCACCAGGTTGGGGCAAACAGTGTGAGCCAGGTTGCTGGAGTCTCAGTTATGGTGCCCTCTGCTGGCTCTATGGGGGAAGGGCTCATCAAAGGAATAATGGCCTCTGCCAGCACTTCCGTCTGGGAGAAAGCTGCCCCACCAGCATTATTCTTAATGACAAACAATTCAGTCCCTACCCCTATGTCTCTGGTGCCTTTCAAGCTGCTGCCCCTGTGCTGGAGCTCAGAGGGAGTGAGTCCAAGTAAATTCGTGTGCTGGCCCTTTAAGAGAAGCTGCTTAGGTCTCCCTCAGCCTCAGCCTCCCTCAGCCTCAATTTCCACTGGTTTTTACAGCCAGAGTTGTGGGGACTTCTCTTCCTGGCATTGAAATCCTGAGCTGGGTGCCTGATGTGGGACTGGGACCCCTCATTCCTCAGGGGGTACCTCCACAGCCCAGATATCCCTTACCAACTGCCCCTCCTACCAGTCTCAATGTGGCCTCTTCTTTAATTTCATAGTTGTAAGATTTCCATTCAGCTCGATTTCAGGCAGTTCTGAATGATGGATGGTCTGTAGTTCAGTTATAATCTTGATGTGGTGTGGGAGGAGGCAAGTACCAAGTTTACCTATGCTGACATCTTGACCAGTGCTTTCAGTTCTTTAGGGTATATACCCAGAAGTGGGCTTTCTGAGTCATATAGTCTTTCTGGGTTTAACTTTTTGGGAACTTCCATACCATTTTCCTCAGCAGCTGCACCATTTTGTAATCCCACCAACAGTGCCCAAGGGTTCCAATTTCTCCACATCCTCACCAACACTTGTTATATTCTGATTTTTTTGTTCTTTTTCTTTTTCAAATCCTCACCTGAGGATATTTTTCCAGTTATCTTCAGAGTGTGTGGGGGGGGTGGGGGAGGGAGAAACACTGAGGCGAGAGACACACCGATCAGCCGCCTCCCACAGGACTCCAACCAGGGCCAGGGACTAAACTGTAACCAAGGTACACGCCCTTCACTGGAAACGAACCTGTGACTCTTTGGTCTGTGAGCTGAGGCTCTAACCACTGAGAAAAACTGGCCAGGGCTATATTTTGATTTTTTTTATTACTCCTCACCCAAGGATGTTTTTCTATTTATCATCAGATACAGTGGGAGGGAGGGGGAGAGAGAGAGACAGAGAGAAACATTGATGTGATAAAGCCACATAGACTGGTTGCCTTCCATATGACCCAACCAGGGCTGGGGACGAGCTGCAACTGAGGTACATGTCCTTGACCAGAATCGAACCCGCAACTCATTGGTCCAAGGGCTGACGCTCTAACCGCTGAGCCAAACCTGCCAGGGTGCCAGGATGGCTTTTATCACATAATTCCCACCAGCTTTTGATCAGAGGGTTTTATAAAGTTGCTGAATTCTATGTTCCTTCCATGGCTCCCTCAGAACTCAGCTGCTTCTGCAAGAAGCCTGTCTAGCCATCAATGAAGCTGGACTCTCCCCAGTCCCCCTAAATTTTTCATCACTGCACTCTGCTCTCATTTGTCTTAGCTCTTACTATTTCTGCTGGGTTGTTTTTGTTTGTTTGTTTGTTTGTTTTTGCATCAAGTGTCTGCCCCATCAGACTGAGCTCTGTGAGTGTAGGGTATCCCCCATTTGCTCCTTACCAAATCTGAACCCCTACATATAGACCAGAACTAGCCAAGAGCGTGGATTATAAGCCCCACTGTGTTGATTTAAATCAGGGCTCTGCCACTTACCAGTAGTATGACCTTGCAAGTCCTTACCCTCCCCACATCTGCCTTGCAGTCCTCAGTTTTCCCATCTGCAAAATGGGATGATAATTGGCCCTTCCACCTAGGGCTGCCTGGAAGGGTAGGCAAGTCGGTTTATGTAGAGCCTGTCCCTATGGTGCCATCGAAGGTCTTGTTACTGTCACATGACAGCATCAATATTGTAGATGTGAATAGCCTTGGACTGGCCATTTCTGTGGTGAATGAGCCTCAGCTTCCATCATCTGTGAATTGTGGCATTGAATTAGCATGTTGAGGGTCCCACTCAAGTGGAAGGCACTAGTGTCCACCATTTGTTATGCCTTTCTCATGCATCATGCTCACCAGGAGTCGTAAACCTCACAGGGAGTAATTTCCCAAGAAAATAGCCTTGGACACAACTGCCCAAATACAGCATGTTCTTTGCAGCATCCTTGATTGACAAGTTGTGGCTCCCCTAGCACAATGAGGCGTAGAAACAAATGTTTGCCACCAGAGGACACAGCTGGGCAACCTGTTCTCTCTGCACATTTCAACACTTTCAGCGGGCTCCTAAAAATGGGTAGATATTCCTGACTTCTATTACCTCAGGCTGCAGGATGACTTGGAGTGATGCCATTTCTGACTCTGTTTTTATTTAAAAGACTGATATTTTGTTCATCATAGATTTTAGGTACATACATTTTTATTTTACTTTATTTTTATCCTCACCTGAGGATCTTTTTCCATTGGTTTTTCAGCTAGAACGGGAGGGAAGGATGGCGAGAGAGACAGAGAGAAACATTGATGTGAGACAGACATATTGATTGGTTGCCTCCCGCATAACCCGACCAGGGCCTGCAACTGAGGTACAGGTTCTTGACTGACAATTAAACCTGCAACTCTTCAGTCTGTGGGCCAAAGCTCTAACTGCTGAGCCAAACCAGCCAGGGCAAAATTTTTGATTTTTGAAATATAGCATTGGCCCTGATAGAGCATCGGCTTGTGCACCAAAGTGTGAAGGGTTCAATTCCCGTTGAAGGGCACATACCTGGGTTGCAGGTTTGCTCCCTGGCCCTGGTCAGGGTGTGAGATCCAGAAAGCAACCAATCGATGCCTCTCTCTCTCATGGATGTTTTTCTTTCTCTCTTGCTCTCTTTCTCCGTCCCTCCCTTCCACTTTTTTTTAAATCCTCACCTGAGGACATTTTTCCATTCATCTTCAGATAGAGTGGGAGGGAGAGAGAGAGAGGGAAAGAGACAGAAACATCGATGTGAGAGGGACACATCAACTGGTTGCCTCCTGCCTGACCCTGACCAGGGCCAGGGACGAACCACAACTGAGGTACGTGCCCTTGACCAGGAATGAACCCGCGACTCTTTGGTCCAAGGGCTGACACTCTAACCTCTGAGCCATACTGGTGGGGGCCTTTCCACTCTTTCTAAAAATCAGCGGAAAAAAATATCCTCAGGTGAGGATTAACAAAATAAAATAAAATATTGTATTAAAATAGTATATTTCTTAATGGTTGAGCCTATAGTGCCACCTTAAATTTTGCACCCATGATGAGTGAGGCACTTGCCCTTGCCCTTGCCCTTGGCCCTGCCACATTTCACCCACCAGCAAACCAAGGCACAGGGCATTGCCACCATGGCCCAAGACCCCAACAATAGGGGCAAAATAAATTGTCCACCTTCAGTGTCCCTAGTCTTTACTCAAAGTTGGAATCAAACTCTTTGGGTCAGATTACTGCCTCTGACTGGCTGTGTGACCTTGTGCAGATTGCTTAACCTCTCTGTGCCCCAATTTTGTGCTTTATAAACTTGGGCTAATAATGATGATAGGCCCTGGCCGGTTTGGCTCAGTGGTAGAGCGTCAGCCTGCATACTGAAGAGTTGTGGGTTCGATTCTGGTCAAGGGCATATACCTCAATTGCAGTTCGTCCCTGGCCCTGGTCAGGTGGTGGGGGAGGCAACCAGTTGTTGTGTCTCTCTCACGTCGATGTTTCTCTCTCTCTCTCCCACTCTATCTGAAGATAAATAAAAAAAAATTCTTGAGTGAGGATTTAAAAATAATAATAATAATAATAATGATAATGATAACTGTGTGGTAGGCAGAAAAAACTGCCACCTCACCACCATCACCACCACCAACTATATATTCACTTCCTAATCCCTGGAACCTAAGACAATCATCTTATATGAGAAAAGATGTGATTAAGTTAAGGATATTGAGATGGAGAGTTCGTGCCAGATTATCTAGGTGGACTTCAATGAAATCACAAGTATCCTTATAAGAAGGAAGCAGAGAGAGATTTGAAAGAGAAAAGGAGAAGACATGGAGAAACATAGATGAGAAGGCTGTGTGAAGATGGAGGCAGAGATTAGGGTGATGTAGCCAAGGATGCCTAGAGCCCCCAGAATCTGGAAGAGACAAGGGAGAATCCTCCCCTAGAGCTTTGGAGGGAGCACAGCCCTGCTGACCCCTTGATTCACTTCTCGTCTCCAGAACTGGGAGAGAATAAAGTGCTGGGTTTGTTTGTTTGTTTGTTTGTTTGTTTTGTTTTTTGGTACATACCCCTAGTGGGAACCGAACCCGGGACTCTCTGGTCCGCAGGCCAACACTCCAACCGCTGAGCCAAACCGACCAGGACTAAAGTGCTGTTGTTTTAAGCCACCCAGTTTGTAGTAACTTGTTATGGCAGCCACAGGAAACTAATACACTCCCTGTCCCCCCCGGCCTGACAGTGGAAAGATTGCAAATGCTACATGGGAGCCATGCACCTCAGGGACGGAGGTGGCTAGGGTGTAAAAAGGCTGACTAGGGGTTGAGCAATTCTTCCTTCCTTGACACTAGTGACAATGACCTTCTCTTGCTCAGTAGCCCTCAGTGGCTCCCTGCCATTCCCAGGACCTAACTATGGAAATAAGGCCTTTGTCAGCCTCTTGGTTTCCTTTCTTGCCTTTCCCTACTTAACTAATTATTATTATTATACACCAGATGATAACATTTTAGCAGAGGAAAACCAGTGGGCCGAGTTTCTTATTGAATTTTATTCCTGTCAATAAAGTGGGTAATCTAAATAGTTATATTCTGTTTTTCACAGGTATTAATAAATCTATTTTCATTTAAAATTTTAAAAAACTGTGAAGTGCTGGGGAAATGATCGGTATTTCTCTCACAGACTTGTTGGGTGTCTGTAAGGTTCTAGGCAGTAAGAACACAGCAATGAACAAGACAGGCATTATACCTGTTTTCAGGAAACTCCGGGTCTAGGGTAGTGATGGTGGCGGGGCCATCGAATAAACACACAAATATTAGATTGCTACTGTGACAAAACCTAAGCTTGGGGACTGTGGGGATTGGAGGGTTGGACTGGAGAATGTTTTTTTCAGAAGTGACCTTTGAGCTAAGAGGAGGATGAGATGACTGGGGTGAGAAAGGGGAGGGAGGAAACATTCCGGTGGTGGCCCAAAGGCTGGCAGCCAGCTAGTGCACTTGCAGTAGGGGCAAATACGTCTGGATAACAGGCAGGAGAGGATGACAGGCAAAGGGGGCTGCGCTTGACCCAGGAAATCAGTGTTCCCTACCCTTAACTGGAGTTCCCTTTGTTGCAGAGAGGAGCATCCTGTACACAGAAATCCTGGCCAGACTCCATTTCTTTGCCACCTCGCATCCGGCACTGGTGGGACAGTTGTGCCAACAGGCCCAGAGCTGGTTCCGGGAGTGCCCACACCCTGTGCTGGTGCCTCTCGGAGGATTCCTCCAGCCCCCAGGAGGACCCCTCTTGGTGACCCTCACTGGCTGTCACAAAGGTAGGTCTCCCCAGTGTAGTAAAAGTCCTGCCAGGCACGCTCTTGCCCAGGGCACTGGAGGGCAGATATTTCAGGATACTCTCTGGGACTACCCCCTGCCAGTCTGGAGACCCCAAGGGTGCCATTAGGGCTGCCCCTGCTGTCTCATGCTGACTCACTCTCTGCCCCACAGGGACTGCAGATTACTAGTGTGAAGACTGCTAATGAGCCTGGGGTGAGGAGATGCCAACTGCTTCAGGGTTCTTGCCTCTGAGAGTTTAGTGCCCATCCCACAGAGAGTTTCTGCAATTTACAGGCCAATGCTAGTAAGTCTGGACGCTATGAATGGCTCCTGAGACGCTGATGGAACTTGTAGATTCCCTGGGACACCAGAACGTCAGTGGGACAAGATAATTTCATTCTATCCATTCATCATCCATTTGTCCCTTCCTCTCTCCCTCCCTCCCTCCCTCCCTCCCTTCCTCCCTCCCTCCCTCCCTCCCTCCCTCCCTCCCTCCCTCCCTCCCTTCCTCCCTTCCTTCCTTTCTTCCTTCCTTCCTTCTTTCCTTGTTGGGAAAGCTACACTCCCAAGGCATAGTGCTTTTGAAATAGAAATTCTAAGTGACACTCAGTACAATTAATTGAAGAATTGATTTAGGGACAACCACTAGAATGCTGTAGTGAGAAGGATTGTGAGACCGAATCTGGTTTAATGGCAAACATTGTATATTTGTTAGGATATAGGTTCAGATACTACAACAAAGGCCAAAATAACAGCAGCTTAAATAAAATAGTTCATTTCTCTCTTACATAACAGTCAGTGTCCGCTGGGGAGTGTCCAGTGGGGAGCAGAATTGCCCCGGGTGAGAACTGCTGAACTGGAGAGACACTTACGCCCAAGCTGTGGCTTAGTCCCTAAGAGCAATATAAACATCACAGCTGAGATCTGAATCTTGTGTCTGAAAGCTCTGGCTTCGAAATCTTGGCTCTGCTACTTCCTAGGTGTGTGGCTCTGGACAGGGACTGAATCTGTCCATGCCTCAGTTTCCCTATCTATGAAGTGGAGGCCCATTAGAGGACCTAATGGTTGAGCACTTATATACGGGAGCTGATGTCTTCTGTGGGCTGTAGGCATCACCGCTATGGCCTGGAGCCTGGAAGAGAAACTGCTGGTGGTCGGCACCCAGGATGGCATTGTGGCTGTGTGGGACATGGAAGAGCAGCAGGTGATCCACATCCTAACCGGACACACAGGTGAGACTCAGGAAGTGGTTTACTATCACCTTCCTAGTGTCCCACATCAATCAGTCAGTCCCCAGAGCCCCTTCACTACCAATTCACTTCTCTGTATCAAAACTCTGGCTTTGATCCTGCATCATTGAACTATTGCCACATAACAAAACACTCCAAAACATAGTAGATTCAAACAATAGCTATTTGTGTAGCTCACTTTCTGTGAACTGGAAATCAGACTGCACTGAGCTGGGCAGCTCTTCTGGTCTCAGCCAGGCTTGCGCATGCACCTGTGATCAGTTAGTGAGGCGCCTGGGAGCTCACTGCGTCAGGATGTTCTCCGCTGAGACAGGCCAACTCATGGTCTCTCATCCTCCAGCAGGCCAGCTGGTGCAGAGGCAGAGTCTCTAGAGGGAAAGTAGAAGCACACAAGGTCTCTTAAGGCCTGGAACTGTCCTTGGAACTGGTACCCTGTCACATTGTACTGGCCGAAGGAAGTCACAAGAACAGTCCAAAATCAATGAGCAGGGAAATAGACTTTATCTCTTTTTTTAATTTTTCTTTTTTTATCTTCACCCAAGGACATTTTTGCATTTATCTTCAGACAGAGCAGGAGGGAGAGAGGGAGGAAGAGAGAGACACACACACACATTGACTGATTGCCACCCATACGACCCCAACCGGGGCCAGGGACAAACTGCAACCAAGGTATGTGCCCTTAGTGGGAACCAAACCCGGGCCTCTCTGGTCCGCGGGCCGATGCTCTAACCGCTGAGCCAAACGGGCCGGGACTGGACTTTATCTCTTGATGGGAGAAGTAGAGCCACACTGCAGAAAATATAGATCAGAGAGAGTAAAGCCTTGTGAATATCTATGCAGTTTTTCTAGCGCAGTAAAGTTTTCATTTCTGCAGAGTCCCATTACCACAATGGTTCATTCATTTGATCAATTATTGAGTGCCTACTGTATACCAGGTCCTGTTCTAGAGGCTGAAGAGAGACAAATCAGGGCCAAGACTAGGGCGAGGGAAGTAAGGTATACACCCTCGATGCACAATTTAAAGGGGTGTCACTGCCCTAGCTGGCTTGACACCGTTGGTTGGAGTGTCATCCCATACACCAAACAGTGGTGGGTTCGATTCCTGCTCAGGGCACATACCCAGGTTGTGGCTTTATTCCCTGGTTGGGGCACATGCGGAGGCAGCTGATCCATGTTTCTCTCTCACATCAATGTTTCTCTCTCTCCTTCCCTCTCTCTAAAATACATTTTTTTAAAAAGTTAAACAAATAAAATAAAAATAAGGGGGTGGTCCCAAAATTAATATAACCTTAGTCATCATGATAAATAATATTCCAATGCAATGTTTTTAAAAATGGAAATTAATGTAAAAATAACCCCAATGAATAATTTCAACCTGTCTTAAATAATGACAGGATCAGCAATGTTGCCAAGCCACAATGGAACCAGCAACAAAAGGGAAACTCAGTGATTCGGTACCTCCTTCAATTTTGCTCCTAAGGAGAGCGCCTCACTTGACTCACCCTGGTCCTGGCCCGACTGAGACTCATGTATTTGGAAGGATGAGCCAGTACAAACTGTGAGAAGTGTAATGAGGAAAACAACTTGTCATGAGCTAGAATAACCAAAGTGACCAATTTAGGGTGTTAGAGAAGGCATTCCTCTAAGCAGGGACATTTCATCCAAGACACAACGAGTGTGAAGGAAGAGGTGTGCAAAGGGAAGGCGGTGGGAAGAGCGTCAAAGCATGAGGATAGGGAAAAACTAGGGCAAAGGCACTGAGAGGGGCGGAGTCTGGCACGTTTACAAAACAGCAAGGAAGCCATGGGGCTGGAGCTCCGGACATTGTATCAAATAAAAGGAGCCACACAAAAGGCCACAGAGTGTATGATTCCATCTAGATGAAATGTCCAGAACGGGGCAAATCCATAGAGACAGAAAGCAGATTAATGGTTGCTAGTGGGAGAGGGAGGGATAGGGAGTGACTGCTAATGAGGACAAGGTCTCCATTTAAAGAGATGGAAATATTCTGGAGTTAGATAGAGGTGATAGTTATACAACATTGTGAATGTACCAAATACCACTAAATTAGACACTTTATTTTTTAAAATATGTTTTTATTGATTTTTTAGAGAGAGGAAGGGAAAGAAAGAAACATTGATTAAGAGATAAACATCGATCGGCTGCCTCCTGCACGCCCCCTACTGGGGATCAAGTTCACAACCTGGGCATGTGCCTTGACCTGGAATAGAACTGGGACCTCTCAGTCCATGGGACTGACACTCAATCCACATGGGCCAAGCAGAGTTAGACACTTTAAAAGGGCTAAAGTGGCCCTGGACACTTTGGCTCAGCGGTTAGAGCATCGCCCGTGGACCAAAGAGTCCCAGGTTTGAGTCTGACCAAGGGCACGTGCCTCGGTTGCGGTTCGTCCCTGTCCCTGATTGAGGTCATGGGGGTGGCAGCCAATCTATGTATCTCTCTCACATAATGTTTCTCTCTCTCCCTCCCACTGAGTCTGAAGATAAATGTAAAAATATCCTTGGATGAGGATTAAAATAAATAAATAAAATAAAATGGCTAAAATGATACCCTGACTGGTTTGGTTCAGCAGTTAGAGCATTGGCCTAAAGGGTCCTCGGGTCTTGGGTTCGATTCCCGATCAAGGGCATGTACCTGGGTTGCAGATTCAAACCCTGAACCTGGTCAGGGTCCTTTGGAAGGCAACCAATCGATATGGACATACTGATATTTCTCTCTCTCTCCCCCTCCTTTCCACTCTATCTCAAAAAAAAAAAAAAAAATCAATGGAAAAACCTTATGTAAAGATTAACAGGAAGAAGAAAAAAAAAAGAAGACTGCATACAGAAGTGGAACAACAAATCCAAAAAAATAAAAATAAAAAATGGCTAAAATGATAAGGGGAGAAGGAGTAGGGAATGACAGCTTTGTAAAGTTATGAAAATTTTCTAACAGCCTGTGGTGATGGTTGAACAATTTTGTGGGCATACAATAAATTGTACCATTGTTCATCTAATGGGTGAATTGTTTTTGTAAATTATATCTCAGTAAAAATGTTAGAAATATTATGTCATTGCAATCTAAGTATGTACACACTGTTTATATAGTTTTCTTAACATGTTGCCATAAACATTCTTTGTTTCTGTTAAATTGTTTTTTGTTTTAGTTTTTCTTAATTTTTTTTTTTTTTTATTCTCACCCAAGGACATTTTCCATTTTTTGTTCAGGTAGAGTGGGAGGGAGAGAGAGGAAGAGAGAGAGAGGAATATCGATGTGAAAGGGACACATCGAGGGGCTGCCACCCGCACGACCAACAAGGGCCAGGGTCAAACTGCAACCAAGGTACATGCCCTTAGTGGGAACCGAACCCGGGTCTCTCTGGACCACAGGCTGACGCTCTAACCGCTGAGCCAGGGCCAGGGTAGTTTTTCTTAATCTTTATTGTTGAATGTATTACAGATGTTCCTCATTTTTCCCCCATTGACTCCCTCCTCCCCACTCCCGTCCCCCTCCTGCCTTTCCCCACACTGTTGTCTGCGTCCATTGGTTATGCATATATGCATATAAGTTCTTTGGTTTATTTCTTCCCCTCCCCCAACTCCCCTTCCCTTTGAGGTTTGTCAGTCTAGCAACCAATTTGTACTTCTTAATCCCTTCACCTTTTTCACCCATTCCCCCAAACCCCCTCCCATCTGGCAACCAACAAAATGTTCTGTTTCTATGAGAATGTTTCTGTTCTGCTTGTTCATTTTGTTTGTAGATTCAATTGTCGATATATATTCATTGCCATTTTGTTTGTTCATATATATATATTTTTTAATCCTTACTCGAGGATATTTTTTCTTTTTTTTTTTTCAGACAGAGTGGGAGGGAGAGAGAGGAAGAGAGAGAGAGAAACATTGATGTGAAAAGGACACATCGAGTGGCTGCCACCTGCATGACCAACCAGGGCCAGGGACAAACTGCAACCGAGGTACCGGCCCTTAGTGGGAACCAAACCCGTGTCTCTCTGGACCCCAGGCCGACGCTCTAACCACTGAGCCAAACTGGCCAGGGCTGTTTGTTCATATTTTTTATCTTTTTCTCCAAGAAGATCCTTCAACATTTCATATAATAATGGTTTGGTGGTGATGAACTCCTTTAACTTTTCCCTGTCTGGGAAACTCTTTATATGGCCATCGATTCTAAATGACAGCTTTGCAGGACAGAGTAATCTTGGTTGTAGGTTCTTGCGTTTCAGCACTCTGAATATTTCTTGCCACTCCCTTCTGGCCTGCAAAGGTTCTTTTGAGAAATCAGCTGACAGTCTTATGGGAACTTCCTTGTAGGTAACTAACTGCTTTTCTTTTTTTTTTATCCTCACCCGAGGACATTTTTCCATCTTTTATTCAGGTAGAGTGGGAGGGAGAGAGAAGAACAGAGAGAGAGAGAAACATGGATGTGAAAGGAACACATCGAGTGGCTGCCACCCACACAACCAACCAGGGCCGGGGACAAACTGCAACCGAGGTACGTGCCCTTAGCGGGAACCGAACCCGGGTCTCTCAGGACCGCAGGCCGACGCTCTAACCGCTGAGCCAAACCGGCCAGGGCGGTAACTAACTGCTTTTCTCTTGCTGCTTTTAAGATTCTCTCTCTGTCTTGAACCTTTTGCATTTTGATGATCAGGTGTCTTGGTGTGGGCCTCTTGGAGTTCATCTAGCTGGGGACTCTCTGTGCTTCCTGGATTTGAAGGTCTGTTTCCTTCACCAAGTTAGGGAAGTTTTCTGCCATTATTGTTTCAAATAGGTTTTCTAATTCTTGTTCTCTCTCTTCTCCTGGCACCCCCAAGATGTGAATGTTGGCATGCTTGAAGTTGTCCCAGAGGTTCCTTACACTATCCTCATTTTTTTTGGATTCTTTTTTCTTTTTTGCTGTTCTGATTGGGTGTTTTTTGCTTCCTTATATTCCAAGTCAATGATTTGCTTCTTGGCTTTACCTAC